TAACTCGTCTGGGCAGCCCCAAATTTCAAGTCGTTGAAGGGAGGACAAGTTGTTAAACCAGTCTGGCAAAGATTCCATTCCACTGAAGTCCACTATACACAACTCCTTTAGAGCAGTGAGGTGTTGAAATTGTGGAAGGTGAGTTAGTTTTTCCCATCCCGTCAGGCTCAAATATTCAAGGGAGGCGGGGATGGAACTCAGACTTGGGAATTTTTCTGAGAAACAGCCGATCTCTAATCCCTTCAACCTAGTAAAGCAGCGGAGACTCTTCTCTAGGAAGCCCACAAATTTCGGACAACCTACAATGGTTAGATGAGGCAATTCCTTCCACTCTCCTTGGAAAGAGACCAAATTAGGGCAATTTGTTATCTTCAGCTCCTCAACAGATGACAGCCCACCTGATAGACACTCTAACCGACAACAATCTTTAATTTCAAGTGTTTTAAGACAAGAAAGGTTTCCCAATAAAGCTTCTTTCACTCCATTGACGCTTTTGATAGTTAAGTTCCTGAGAGCAGTGAGGCGATCAATTTGATGTGGCAGAGTTAGCGATTCCCCCCATCCTTCCAAACGCAAGACTTCAAGGGAGGAAGTGGAACTCAAATCTGGGAATTCCTCCAGCTCTTCTGAGAAAAGGCCAAGCCTTAATGTCTTCAAGCTGGCAAGAGAGCCCAAGATCTCGTCTGGGAAGCTCCTCAATTTTCGACATTCCCAAAAAACCAACTCAGCAAGAGTCTGCAACTGTTTCAATTCTTCAGGAATAGAAACCAAATTAGAGCATCTACTTATCTCCAATTTCTCCAGAGCAGTGCAAGATGAGAGCCCACTCGGTAGACTCTCTAATTCATCACACTCGTCAACCTTTAGTGTTTTGAGAGAGACAAGTCCTTCTAGAGGAATAAACTTCAATTTTCCACATTTCCAAATATTCAACTCAACAAGAGACTGCAACTGTTTCAATTCTTCAGGAATAGAAACCCAATTAGAGTGTCCCCATATCACCAATTTCTCCACAGCAGTGCAAGATGAGAGCCCACTCGGTAGACGCTCTAATTCATCACAATCGGAAATACTTATTGTTTTGAGAGAGACAAGTCCTTCTAAACTTGGAATAAACTTCAATTTTGGACAATCCCAAAATCTCAACTCAACAAGAGACTGCAACTGTTTCAATTCTTCAGGAATAGAAACCAAATTAGAGCAATACTCTATCTCCAATTTCTCCAGAGCAGTGCAAGATGAGAGGCCACTCGGTAGACGCTCTAATTCATCACACTTGGTAACATTTAGTGTTTTGAGAGAGACAAGTCCTTCTAGACGAATAAACTTCAATTTTGGACAATCTCCAAAAACCAACCCAACAAGAGACTGCAACTGTTTCAATTCTTCAGGAATAGAAACCAAATTAGAGCATTCCCTTATCTGCAATTCCTCCAGAGCAGTGCAAGATGAGAGCCCACTCGGTAGACGCTCTAATTTATGACATTTGGTAATATATACTGCTTTGAGAGAGACAAGTCCTTCTAGACTTGGAATAAACTTCAATTTTGGACAATCTTCAAAAACCAACACAACAAGAGACTGCAACTGTTTCAATTCTTCAGGAATAGAAACCAAATTAGAGCAATACTCTATCTTCAATTTCTCCAGGGCACTGCAAGATGAGAGCCCACTCGGTAGACGCTCTAATTCTTCACATCTGGAAATAATTACTGTTTTGAGAGAGACAAGTCCTTCTAGACTTGGAATAGACTGCAATTTAAGACAGTTTTCCAGATGCAAATGTTTGAGACACGTGGAGCTTGATAGGCTATCTCCTATGCTATTTATCCCCCAGCCATACACAATCTTGAGTTCCTCCAGAGATGATAATCCACTAACCAAAACTCTCTCTAACTTACCACACCCGTCTATAAATAATTGTTTGAGAGACGTAAATGCTCCATCACCATCACCCAAACTAGTTACTTCAGCACAATCGCGAACATGGAGCCGCTGAAGAGATAGAAGCCCACTGATATCTGGAATTCCGTGGAGCATTATGCAATTGATAATTGTCAGATCCACCAAATTGTTGAGTGACAACATCCATGATGCCAACTTTCTACCTCCATAGCCAGCAATCTTTAATCTTCTTATATTTGAGGGGGGTTGGAGGCCTTCTAAGACATCTTCATCTTTATCTTGATTGCCTTCATCTCCCGACCAACGAAATTGCAAATCTTTGATTGCCTTCTCTTTTAACTTTGCTGCTTCCGCTTCCGATCTGTCAGTAACAAGCTCAAGCTTACAGATCTTTAGTCTTCCTTTGAGTTCTCTTAAGCTTCCCAATTCTTCAATTTTACGTCCTTCTGTTGTACCTACAAAAAATAATGGCAATGTTTGTAGGTTGGTTAGTCTCCCAAGGTTTGCAGGCATACGCTCTTCATCACTGAAATCAATATGCTTCAAGTTGATTAAATCTCCTATTCCTCCTTCGGGCATTTTAAGAGATGTGCATTCCGTGAATCTAAATGTTTGTAGATTGTACAACTCGGAGATGAATTCAGGCAGTTTTTTTATCCGAGTTCCTGAAATGTCCAAGTACCTCAACCTCTTCAAGTTGCCAAAGCACGTCGGCAATTGTTTTGCATCATCAGCATCTTCAAGGCTGAGAACTCGTAACCTTCTAAGATCCACTTGCACACCATTAGAAAAACTATGCTTGGAAAACAATGTCTGCAACTTTTCAGCAACATCCCCTAAAATAGATGGCACCATTTCCCTCCCATTAATTAGATTCAAATGCCTAACATCATGAGAAATATTGCTCCTAGGCCGCTCCTCAACAATCAGCGTCTCAGATTTTGAAATTGACTGAGCAAAATCATGAATCAAATCATGCATCTTACAAGATTCAACACTCCCAGTTACATCATCCCTCCTTTCATCTTGAAATAGGGAATATGATAACAAATATCCGAAATACTTGTTACCAATATCTCCTGCTGCCATATAACTTTCTTCAGATGATTCAAGAAATCCTAGAGCCATCCAAAGTTGAATTAGCATCTCCCTTTGCATAACAAAATCCTTTGGAAAAAAGGAACAAAATGCAAAACATTGCTTCAAAGCCAGTGTGGGCAAGCGATCATAACTGAATTTTATTATATCCAAGATCCCCTCCTCCTTTTCCAATGAATCCCAAACACGATTCTCTGTAATTTCCTGCCACTCCCTTCTGTCCCTCTTATTCTGCAAAATAGCCCCTATAATACTTCCAACTAGTGGAACGCCTTTACACCTTCCAGCAATCTCTTTTCCAATTCCCTCTAACCCCTCAGGTACTGAATTGTCTCCAAATGCTCTCTGCTTGATTATGGTCCAGCACTCATCAACCTTTAATAACCGGGGACGATGGATGTGTTCATCAGTAAGTGCCATTAGCGATGCAACTTTTCCAACCCGGGTTGTCACAAGCACCTTAATCCTACTCCCCTTCTTTTTACTTATTCCAAGCAAGCAATCCCTTAAATCCGTCCACATTTGTCTCTCCTCATTCCAAACATCATCTAGTATGAGAAGATAATTTTTCTCCCTCAAATTCTCTTGTATTTTCCTCAGCACAGCATCTTTGCTTCCAATATCTCCACCACCACTACTACTTCCGGTAATAGACTCCAACATCTCCCTTAAAATCTTTTTGACATCAAAAATTTCAGACACACAAACCCACATTTTATTATCACCAAAATGCC